ATATGCACACTATGCAACCTGTTTATTCTTATGACAGCAAAACAATTCTTGCTCCTGTTTTTTTCTATGTGACTACACAAAGTCTTTAAAGAAAGGAACATTTATCATGTTCTTGGCTTTCATTTTCTGCCTCTGGCGCCAGAGGCATTGATTTTATCTAATGAGTGGTAAAATTAGGATAGTCGACATATGTCAATATTACAAGTGTAGCTGTGGGGCTGTACAGATTTGTCACTAAATCTCCATCGTGTGAAAACACACAAAAAAATCTAAATCCGTGTGTGAACAGCCCTTCTGTGCATTCAAAACATTTTTAGTCACTTCATTCACAGGCTGTTCATTCAGATGACTGGATTGCCAGTGGTCAGCTCTGATTRATAGAGTTCCCATCTTGCAGTTAAAGCGCTCTCCAAACCGTGAGCGTACTGATGCAACCACATCACACATAAGCAGCACTTTCAGCCAGGTGTGAACTCTGCAGCTACAAATAAAGTGCAAGGAAATAAAATTCTTGGTTAATGTAACRACTGGATGTACGTCTAGAATTGATTACCTTTTGGTGTCCATCCATTTCACCACGGTCACCACAGCTAATCAGTCAGACAGGACAAAAACATGGCAGTTACACAGTCCATTTAGCAGATATTGAGCTAAAACTTGGTAGCTGACAATCATTCACAAGCATTATTCCAAGAACTATCCACTGCTCAAGATTTTTGCTTAAATCTTTGACATTAAATGTTGCAGAAAGCATTGTTGTCTGTGAGAAAATGTTCTCACGAACAATTTTTTCAAGGAAAACTCTGCTTTAACTGTTTATGAAGGTAGTTTAAAGGGGAATATGCAAAATCAACTTTTTTATATCATGTTCAAGGAAGGAAGGAAGGAAGGAAGGAAGGAAGGAAGGAAGGAAGGAAGGAAGGAAAGATGATCGATGAATGGATCACTGAGGATGGATGTATGGGTGAAATGATGGATGGATAGATGGATGGATGGATGGATGGATGGATGGATGGATGATTGAGGANATCACTGAGGATGAAATGATGGATGGATGGATGGATGGATGGATCATTGTGGATCGATGGATGGATGGATGGATGAAATGATGGGTGTATGGATGAATCATTGTGGATGGATGGATGGATGGATGGATGGATGGATGGATGATTGTGGATGGATGGATGGAAGGATGGATGGATGGATCATTGTGGATGGATGGATGGATCATTGAGGATGAAATGATGGATGGCTGGCTGGCTGGATGGATGGATGGATGGATGGATGAATCATTGTGGATGGTTGGATGGATGGATGAAATGATGGATGGATGGATGGATGGATGGATGGATGGATGGATGGATGGATGAAATGATGGATGGATGGATGGATGGATGGATGAAATGACGGATGGATGGATGGACGGATGGATGGATGGATGGATCATTGAGGATGAAATGATGGATGGCTGGATGGATGAATGGATGGATGAAATGACGGATGGATGGATGGACGGATGGATGGATGGATGGATGGATCATTGTGGATGGATGGATGGATGAAATGATGGATGGATCATTGTGGATGGATGGATGATCATTGAGGATGAAATGATGGATGGCTGGATGGATGGATGGATGGATGGATGGATGGATGAAACAATGGATGGATGGATGGATGGATGGATGGATGAAATGATGGATGGATGGATGGATGGATAGATGGATGGATGAAATGATGGATGGATGGATGGATGGATGGTTGGATGGATGGATGGATGGATGGATGAACTGATGGATGGATTGTTGGATGGATGGATGGATGGATTGATGGATGGATGGATGGATCACTGAGTTGACATTACTCTGCTGATGTCTAACCCTTTCAAGTGGAAGCACAGTTAAATAACCTGACTCGTTTTTGGGAGGGCAGCCATTTAGCACCTGCTGCCTGTCACAATCACTGGCTCCAGGCCTTTCAGGCTGGAATTGGATAAAAACACACAAATGCAGATTTACTGGTTCATTAGTCAGGGGAAATGTCAAACCCAGAGGTGTAAACAGGRAACCCCAGGGGTGTTGGTCACATAATAGATGCAGTTATTAGTACCAGTCTTATGTTTTTACATGAACTGTCACATTTAATTATTTCTTTGTTTTAATGGTGAYTAATGCAGTATCAGTTTAGAAGACTAACTTTATTTATTTGCTGTGTTTRTGGCCAGGTCACCACCTCAGGGACTGATAGTGGGATACAGTTAAAGTGTTGCTCTGATTTAATAGCTCAGCTCAGGCAATAAAGGTCAACATAAATGATAAATGAGGGGAAAATGTCATTAAGGAAGGAAGAGAGAAAACAGAGGTTGTTGAGGGATGATTACATCCTACATTATTTGTATTTTTTCCTAACATTTTTATAATTTTTAAAAAGCTTTAAATTGTAACAAAATATGTATATAACTGTTGTTAGAGTAATGGAGGGATATTTACCGATGTTTACACTGCTTTTACAGCTGATTGTTTTAGGATTTCTTGACACATATGTACATTTAGATCAATAAAAAAGATTTTCTTATGAGTCAARTCCACCGATGACACCTCTGAGCTCCTTTCCTCTCATTAAAAACCCACTCAGGACAAAATTAATGAATCAGCRTCAGCAGGAACTGATCCCATTAAGACTCGACTGAGCCTAAATGTTCATGAGTGACTTACATTAATATTTATTCATTTCATTAAAAAACAACAAACAAAAACACATTACATACAACAAAACAATGCAAATCAAATAAAATGGAAGGCAGCAGAAAAAGAAAAAAATCTCATATCTGCTCCTATTTACAAAAAATATTATTGATTTCAAACAATTACTGGACTGAATAGACCAATTAGACTTAAACACAGAAAGAAAACCAGACAAAAGAAACACACAGCACATGCTACATATTGATATTATTCTTTATTGAAAACACCTGACAATCATATGCACAGTGAACACAATGAACCTCTCTTGATTCAAAAGAATAAAAACAGATGTTTAAACATTAAAAGACCAACTCCAYATTAATTTCCAACATGTTTAGAATAAATACAGATGATTGCACRTGAGTCAAATATAGTGTCAGGATTAAAAACCTTACATTGGAATTGTGTCTACTGCTCTTACAGCACACTGTATCTGTAATAATAAACTATATTTACACTGTTCCCCGAAAAGCTTTAACTTACAGCCATCAATAAGTAATTTGTTCAGCTTAATCAAGCAACATTGTTGCAAAGGTGACTATTTATACAGATGATACTGCTCTATTTGTTGGCACACGTTTTGAACAGTCTTACCTCCTGAACAACTGTAAACAYAGAACATCAATGATTGAAGATCAACCTGTTATTTTTTCTCCTCTTTGGTCTGGTTCTCCCACGGCACTGGATCATTTTCCTCTCCTTGCGATCCAGTCTCCCTCTCTTGCCAGAACTGCTCTACGTCTGGTAAGACTGGCCCGTCTTTTAGGCTCACCCCGTCCGTGTCGGTTCCCCCTGCTGCCGCCTCCTCTTCCGGCTGGGGCTGAGCCTCGCCGCTGGGCTTCTGGCCGAAGCTGAGCCGAACGCCCCCCTCCCCCGAGGGCTCTCGTCTGGGGCAAGGYGACTGGAGGGAGGTAGGGGTGTGGGGTCCGAGCCTTGGCTTGGGCAGAGGCTGTTTGCGGAGGGTGAGACGCCTCCACAGACCCCTGTAGCTCTCTCTGAACTCCTCGGAGAGGAAGAGGACGATGAGAGGGTTCACCAGCGACAGGGAGAAGGTGAGCAGTTGAGCGGAGAGGGCCAGGAAAATGGGTGGAGAGGAAATTTCTTTCTCCACCACGTGGCGCTCCCAAACCCACACCACCCACTGAGGCAGCCAGAGAACCGCCATGGCCACGGCGAGGCTGAAAAGCATCAAGGTGAGCCTCCTGGATCTGATCTGAGTACGCAGATTCTGGGTCTTACTGGAGCGGCGCTGGCAGTGGCCATAGGCCTTCCAGAAATACATTAGGGCAAAGCAGAGAGGTGCGCAGTAGACCCCCAAAGGGTACGCTTTGTCATACACAGACATGAAACCCTGGGCTTCAGGGGGAACCTTCGTCACGCACACAAATCCGTGAATCCCTCTCTGCAGCTCGGTAAAGAGCCACAGAGGAATGGTGAYGGAGCAGGCGGACAGCCAGACGAAGAAGGGCACCACCAGGATGGAGCCCAGGTGGATGCTCACCTGCCTGGTGGGRTTCGATACGTAGCGGCAGCAAGCCTTGGCCATGAACGCCACTGTGAGGCTCTTTGCGGCCATGCAGGACTGCAGGAACCAGTCGGCCGTCTTGCAYACCGCCCAGCCCAGATTCCAGCTGGGCCTGGAGTAGGAGGCGGCCCTGAAGGGCAYCGCGAACATCAGCAGCAGCCCGTCCGCAAACATCAGGTTAAAGATGAGGGAGTTGATGAGGGACAGCTTGCCCCTGTGCGCACTTGAAAACAGGATGACCATTGCCGTGAGGTTACAAGCCGCKCCCAAGACGCAGATGACTCCCAGGATGGCCGGAACCAGGACTCTGAGCTCGTTCGAGTCCCTTTGCTGGAACGAATCGAGTTTGGTAAATGTCCACTTCACTGTGGAGCTGTTCACCACAGTCGCATTGTCCTCAAGTGGCACGTCCATCGTTTTCAACAAGATAGCGCTCTAAAAACACAATTTATGGAAAGTCGAAAAAGCTTCTTGGTGGAAGAACTGCAAAAAGATGAACTTCTTTGAAAGCTAAACTGTAAAATATGTTGTAGAAGAGTAGATAAAATGATCGCTGACTCAGTCCAGAGTTACCAGCGGAGCTCCTGCCTGTGCACTGCTTTATCCTGAGATGTAATAATGCAGCCTCTGCAGCTAGATATAAAGATGCTCTTTGATTGACAGCTGGTGTCCCCAGCTGGCAAGATGTGCGTTGACTAGACCCACATGGGGCCAATTAAGAGAAACTCTGCGTAATGGGAACAAAGTACTGAAAAGGGAGTTCTAAATTAGGTGATTGTGATGTGTCAATCACATTAGGTTCTTTTTGATCCCATCACATTATGTTTACAGGCAGGAAATCAGTCTGGATTCATTACAGAAAAATATAAGCTTCAATGTCTTATTAACCAAAGAAATATGGGTAGATTTTTTCCCCTTGCTGCATCAATTGAATGTGATGCTTTTAACATTTAAATATTGTAGAAAATGAATGACTCAGGACAGCATGATCCATGGGCTTAATCCTTTTTTTCTGCACAAGAGGGCGCCCTCACACCACAAGCTGCATTAATTTTGGTTAAGACATGGGAAAAATAAGGTTAACCTCTTTGAATTGTAAAGTTGCCAAAGTGAAAAGACATCAGCTGCGCATTATTTTGGCATGGGTTGAAGGTCAGCTTCATTTGGTGAAAACTAGGGGTGTCTCCACACTGTGTTTTTCTAACCAAGTATGGTCAGAAACTGAGTACTTCTGTTTGAGTACCGATACTGAGCACCTTACGAGAACCTAAACATTGCATAATGAGTTTAAAAATACATTTCTTTTTTTCTCCCTATAGGTATACCACCCATCTGGATGGATCAAGCATGATATACACTGCTTGGCCATAAAAAAAAGTCATTATGATGTGGGGTTGCTGCAGTTGGTCAGGTCYAGGTTCAGCAACAGTATGTGGTCAAAGAATGAGGTCATCTGACTAAATATACTGAAGGACCAGGTTATTCCATCAATGGATTGTTTCTTCCCTGATGGCACGAGCATGTTCCAAGATGACAATGCCAGGATTCATCRGGCTCGAGTTGTGAAACAGTGATTCAGGGATCATGAGACATCATTTCACACATGGATTGGCTCCACAGAGTCCACTGAGAAGCTTTGTGTTGGATAAGGTCGGACTCTACAATCATCAATGCAAGATCTTGGTGAAAAATTAATGCAACACTGTATGGAAATAAATCTTGTGACATCGCAGGAGCTTAACCAAACAATGCCACAGTGAATGCATGCTGTAATAAAAGCTAAAGGCGGTCCAATGAAATATTAGTGTGTAACCTTTTTTTGGCCAGGCAGTGTATATACTGTTGCAAAAATTAACAATAACTAATAAGATTTTTTCCCAACCTGTTTACGTTTCTTAAACATGGAATGGACAAACTTTTCACTTGAAGTGTAAACTGGAACACGTCCTGATGCATCTCAGTAATCCAGGTAAAAAATCAAAAAGAAAAAAAATTGTATAGGTCTTCTGGACGGGTTCTTCTCTAATGAAACGTTTCGTCTCTCCTCCAAGAGACTTCTTCAGTCTGAGAGTTTCAGGCAAAATTCAGGCTTTTAAGCACTGCCTCCATGTGACTGATACTCACATCACATGGCTATCGTTGACACCTAATTAACACCTATTGTTAACAGGGGGTAGAGTGATACTGGCAATAGCAGCACTGTAGGAGGGGGACAACTGAAAACGGAGGCCTCCACCTCTGTTTAATGATGGACGGTCTTTCTTCACAAAAATGGCTTCTTTTACTCCTCTCTCAAACCAACGTTCCTCTCTATCAAGAATGAGAACATCCTCATCTCTGAAAGAGTGACCGCTGGCCTGTAAATGAGTGAAAACTGCAGAGTTCTGGCCATTAGATGTAGCTCGTCTGTGTTGGGACATTCTTTTGAACAGTGGCTGCTTTGTTTCCCCGATGTATAACTGACCGCAGTCCTCCTGGCACTTAACAGCTGGGGAACCGGCACAAACAGAGCAATGTTGTATATGCTGTTAAGTGCCAGGACTGCGGTCAGTTATACATCGGGGAAACAAAGCAGCCACTGTTCAAAAGAATGTCCCAACACAGACGAGCTACATCTAATGGCCCAAACTCTGCAGTTTTCACTCATTTACAGGCCAGCGGTCACTCTTTCAGAGATGAGGATGTTCTCATTCTTGATAGAGAGGAACATTGGTTTGAGAGAGGAGTAAAAGAAGCCATTTTTGTGAAGAAAGACCGTCCATCATTAAACAGAGGTGGAGGCCTCCGTTTTCAGTTGTCCCCCTCCTACAGTGCGGCTATTGCCAGTATCACTCCACCCCCTGTTAACAATAGGTGTTAATTAGGTGTCAACGATAGCCATGTGATGTGAGTATCAGTCACATGGAGGCTGGGCTTAAAAGCCTGAATTTTGCCTGAAACTCTCAGACTGAAAAAGTCTCTTGGAGGAGAGACGAAACGTTTCATTAGAGAAGAACCCGTCCAGAAGACCTATACAATTTTTCTTTTTTTTAAAAACTGGAACACATTGAATTTATTTATACCAGTACTGATACTAGTATTAGTATCAGTCTTGAGTATAAGACATTTTGTACAAGTATGACTTGTAAATACTGGTATTAGGACACCACTAATGAAAACCAAACACAGCATATACTTGTCAACGAAGTGGTGGAAGGGTGATGATGTGTTGCAGCAATAGAACCTGGGCACTGTGCAGTCATTGAGTCGACAATGAACTTCTCTGTACATCCAAGAATCTTACAGTTAAATGTGAAGCTGGTCCAATTGCTGAAGATTGAATGAACCTGGATCATTTATTAGGACAACAATCCTAAGCACAAGTGGTTCTTTTAAATTGTTGGTTTTGCACATCAGCGTTTCAGTTTTGTCTTGTTTTTTTGTTAAATGTTCAATAATAAGGTTTTTTTGTAAACTTAAAAGTAGTTTAGAACTGGTGAATTGGCTTTTTTCTGCAAAAATGTGGTTTGAAGGCTTAATGCTGAAACATTTTGTTCAAAAGTGTATGTAAAATAGCCAAAAATGCTGAAATTAGCTAAAAATTAGCTAAAGAACAAAGAGAATGTTTGCTGAATTAAGGAGTAAGTAGCTAAAATTATCACAAAATTGTGAATTTAGCTGAAAAAAGCAGAAAATAGATAAAAAAAAATCAAAAAGCTTAAATTAGAAAAATAAGCTGATAAAGGCAAAATAAATTCTAATTAGAATAGCTTAAAAAAGCAGAAAGATGGCTGAAATAGCAAAATTAAAGCTAAACTTAGCAAAAAAATAAGTTGAAGGAAGCTAAGATTATCACAAAAAAGAAAAAAAACTACCTTTAATTAGGAAAAAAGCAGAACCAGAACAAAAGGTGAAAACTGCAGAAAAAGTTTAACTATTTTGATGGATTTTAAGGATGTTGAAGACACCTTCATTCATTTTCAATGAGAAAAAGAAAATGTCCAAAAAGGCTGACTATCTTAAAAAGTATAAACAGCTAAAATATCAAAAGTCACACCTGGAATATCATAAATAAGCTGAAAGTTTTGATACATGTATTGTTGAATCAGCATAAAAATTGCAGAATGAGAAACATGCCAAAAAAACCCACAGAAGAATGGAAAAATGGATAATCTCTAAAAGCATTCACACAATCATTTTACAACATGGGATACACCAGACCATCTTTATCATGCTCTAATGCATTAACCCTTGACTTGACAGTGAGACTACTGTATAATAACACTTGTAACTACATTTAATTCAACAGATGTTCATAATAAGCAGGTCAGAAGATGAGCTTGCAAATCTTTATTCTGTTTTTTTATTATTCAAAGTAAGTCCAGTAAGCATAAAGACTGCATGGTGATTTCTTTGCATTTCAATACATTCTGAGCTATAAAAGGTTGTTCGTTTCAAWTAGAAGTGTCACAAAAGAACTTGTTTAGAAGATATTACTGTTAAAGGAGTCACACTTAAACATTCCCTGATTGCACAGAGTTCAGTTAAGCCTTTGACCGTTTGGCTTCTTGGGAGATAATCCATGAACCGGTCTGAGCCGAGAGCCCAGAATAAACCTGCCGCCTTATCGCCCCACCCCTCGTTATTTAGCAAGAGTAGAAACATGCACGACGGTCTAAAATGAAACCGATTTGAGCTGGAATCTCTGCACGGTGCTTCAAATGATCTGTAGATGTCCAAAAAGGGGGGGGGGGGGGGGACTCAATGCAGGCTTTTAAACTGAACGGGACCAGAACCAACAGACATGCAAACAGAAGAGTGTCAAGATATTCTAGCTCTTAATTCTAGCTGACAGGAGAAATGTTACAGTCAAACTGTTTCACGGGACACATTCATGGTGTTCCCCCATCTACAGATCATTATCAGCATTACTCAAACTGAACCAAATGTAATCAAGAGTTTATAAAATGCATTTTCGCCCAGAAAAATAACGTGGCTTTGTCTCTTCTCTGAAACAAGAACAGACTGAAGGTTYTCTGTACAAATCTTCTCCTGAGCTCACAAGCATGAAACCAGGTTTATGATGCAACTCCTTGAAACACATTGAGCTCCGTGAAGCTTTTTTCCCCTTTTTTTGAAGAAAAACTGTGAAGAAAAAAAAGAACAAAAAAACTACTATGTTAGCTTTTCATTTAAAACATTCTCACAGTCCCACCCACCCCCCACCCTCCCACTACATCAAACCCCCACATACCAAAAAAAGAAGGCACCACAGCTTCTAAACAGACTCACTGACCGAGAGAACGAAACAACAGCTTTAAATGAAAGGACTTGACAGGAGCCCTGGAAGGGCTTCTTTCACGTTAGAGACTAACAGACGTCTCGACAAGGAGACACAAAACTGGTTCCAAAGAGCCTGACCGTGTTCGTGGGAGTTTCTGCGGTCAGGCGTTAACAGTCTGCTCCTTTTCTCCGTCGCCAGTCACACCCAGCGTCACAACATTATCCCCTGGGTTAGAGGCAGCAGGGCTCAGCCCGTGTAGCAGAGTGACAGAAAGGGGGCGCTGATGCTACATGACAGTCCCGTCACACAGGCTGGCTTTCTGCTTCATATTCAGCCTTCCCTTTCATCCGCCCTCGTCGTCAGGGTCCAGAGGGCTGCTACATGGTATTATTCATGCAGCGATCCTCTTGTTGCATAAATGYGCAGGATTCGTTTCTCCGGGGAGGTTAAATAATTTATAATCAGAAGTCACGCTGTGGACTGAAGCGTTTCCCGCACAGCGTAGTCGTTCCTCCACAAATTCTTACTGGTCGTTTTTTTTTTTTTTTTCTCCCACACATCAGTTTGTGGATGTTTGACTCCTTTAAGACCAGAGTGATGGGGCAGGCTGCCTTTTTTTGTTGTTGTTGTTAGTTTACTTTGTCTTGGAAAATGTAGAGGTTGTTGGTGGCTGCTACAGCGATGATGTTCTCATGCGGGTGCCACGTCGTGTGAAGGATCTTCTTGCTGAAGTCGAGGCTGTCAACGCTGATCTCGTCCTTGCGACGCTTCCCGCCAACGCACACCTGAGGGACAGATACAGTCATGAGTTTTTTTTCGCATTTCGACTCCTGCATCCGGACCTGCTGCTAAGATGCGGAAGAAGTACGTAGGCGGACAGATTGACAATAAATTCACCTCACATTGTTGAGTTGGAGAAAAATGTAAAACTGACAGACTTTTTAAAGGGATCCATGATTAATTATAACATTAGACTACTTGATAAACATATATTTGAACTGTAAAATAAAGACTGTAAAAATATTGTTAAAAAGAATGGCGCAAAAGTAACAACAAAGGTGAGATATAAATATTAGACTCATCTGACATTTTCAGATAAAGCATGTTCAAACCATGTTTGCAGGATAATTAATATTCGATGCACGTGTAAAAAAAATTCCATTACCTAAAATGAGCTAAATACCAACAAGAACAAGCTGATGAAAAACCTTTAGGCCTTTGGTTCAGAAAATGGTTAGCCTATAAATGATTACGGTAAATATTTTTTTACATGACTCGAGCTGTTCGACCAATATGGGAGTCTCAAGCACCTAAAGTCTAAATCCAGTGGACTTTCATGTACGCAGGATTACGGCGATTATGCAAAGTGGCTCACCTTGCGAGGCTTCAGAATAGCTCGGGGCTTGCTGTTCTCTCGGGACGCTTCCAGCGTGACGTCTCGCTTGGTGTTGCGGTCGAACATTCGGAAGAAGTTGTTGTACGAGCCGGTCATTATGACGCTGAGGAGAGGGAACAGGCAGAGGGGTTACTTGGAGAGGTGCGTGGACCGACACGGCAATAGGCCGATGGAGAGGTCGTCCCACCTGTCTGATCCGTTCCAGACGCACTCAAACTTGTCAAAGATGCAGTCGTTCTCGTACAGGGAACAGAGCTTACCCCGTAAATAGTCGTGAACCTGAGAAAACAAAAAGCATGACTAAAAAACAACTGAACCCTCTGAACTGCCTTTTAGTAAATAACTATAAGCTGCCCAGCCATATGCTTGACTTTCAGTAATCCTCAAGTCCTGTTGACCTACGCTAAGATGCTAGGTAGCAGGTGGAAGCAGAATTGCAGAAAAAAGGGAATCCCTCGAGTCCAGCTGATGGCCTTATCAATCACGACCACATCAGACAGGGTGGATCACACGGTGGGAGGTTTAACCCTCCAGGATGCATCCGCACCAACACTATCCTCTGAAGGACGCTCGGCTCAATAACCCTTCCTGAGGTAATTGCTAAAGATGACAAGGTTACAGACTGACAGGCTGACAGCGAAACAGGATTACGCTGAGTGATTAGCCTGAAATCAATAAGTCTTGATTTGATTTGGCCGCAGCTGTAATTTACTAACTTCACCGGTAAAGAATTTTCTTCGGAGCATTCAGACCGTCCAAATGAGGCTCGAGCACAGAGCTGGGTGCGCATTTCCTGGCCGACAGGGCCACATCCGGCTCATTAGTGTGACCCTTTCAGCTCACGTGAGAAATCAAATACAATCAATCATTCATTTGCGGTGCTTTTATTTTGAAGGGAGGCGATACTTAAAATCGTATTATCCGAAACAGACGTCAAATGTGAACAGGGCTTTTTATTTTATTTTTTAACTAGACCTGGACTTCAAAGTATTTACTTAATGAAGTCAATGGCAAGACTCAAGAACATACCTGGTAGGTTTCAAGTGGTTTGTTCTCCATTTGGAGGTCCCACACTTTGACAGTGAGGTAGTCCCTTGTCATCAGGTAGCGTCCATTGTGGCTGAACTTCACGTCTGAGATGGATGAGATGATTTCGGAGAAAAAGGAGCGGGTGGATGGATCCTCTGGCTCCTCGAAGTCTAAAAGTGACAGAAGCCAAGAGAAAGAAGACATCGTCTTACGTACAGCAGAGAATCAGACTCGGTTCAAGTGTAAAATGTACATGGATCCATTGTTTTTTTTTAACATTTTATACTTAAAACAAAAGAATTGAATAAAGCACAGTTTTTGTTTGGATTGCAGTGGCTGTCACTGATGCAGACAACAATGCCTGGCTGTTGTCGCGGCAGCAGCTGCATCTCATCTCAGAATTATTCAGGGAGATAATCGCGGGTCAGCTCGGTGGGCAAATATTGGTTATGATTCATATTGATTTTGGCAGCTGCTGATCTGTGTGCAGACCGGCACATGGGGGGATGAGAGCCAGGCATTCCATCGTTAGCTGTCAAACCCGTCTTCTCCTCCCACCTCTCTCTCTCTCAAAGAAATAAATAAATAAAATAAAATAAAAAAAACCCCACCATTCTCCCCCCCTCGAGCCAATCCTTCCTCTACGGATGCCTGGAGTATCGCTCTGTGATGTGTCAGTGGGGAGCCTAACTAGGGAGGCTGCGTGAGAGATGAAAAAAATCAGGGGGGAGGTGAGGAAGGGATAAGAAAAACAAATCAATGTCAAAATGCTGGGCACACATGAGCCCTGTAGGATTTGTGTGTGTGTGTGTGTGTGTGTGTGTGTGTGTGTGTGTGTGTGTATGTGCCAGAAAAAGGGGTGTTTGTGAAGAATGTATTAATGCATGTGCGCGTCCCTGCCCCTGCCGCACCAGGGGTGTATAATAGGGTCCCCGGGGAGTCGACAGGAGGGGGTTAGAGGACTCGTTTGGTCCCTTTCACTCTGTCCTTGGGGGGCTTTTGCCAATTCCCTCCTAAATCCTGCTTCCATCCCTCACCCATCTATCCATCCTCGCTGTAACCCTGATTGATACGAGCAGGCTCCTGGTTTTATAGGTGAAGAAGGAGAGTAATTGTGAGACTGAGTTGTGTTTATAAAGTTATGTGTGTGTGTGTGTGTGTGTGTGTGTATGTGTGTAGCTGTTGCAGGAAGACAGAATGTGTGTATGTGATTCAGAGAAGACATTATACATATCTCTGAGCCATACAAGTTTATGCAGGGAGACAAGTATTGACATACCTACTGTATATCCTAAAGCTAACGCCTGCCTGCTTCATGGGTGTGTGTGTGTGTGTGTGTGTGTGTGTGTGTAATTGTTTCTGCTACAGAGTGAGGACCATAATGTTTTTTTATTCATTTAATTAAAATAAAACAACACAAATTCACATACAGTTTTTTTTAAATCAAATTAAATGAAAGGTAGCAGAAAGAAGAAAAAATCTTATAATCTCTGCCCCT